TTGACTCTGGAATTAGCTTCCATCAGGGTCTGGTGGGCCATTCTATGCATTTGTTACTCCCACCCAGATCAATGCATGTGTAACTGTTGTTCACATGCCACTGACAATATAATTGGGGCCCCGATTTATGAACCATCCACACACAATATACCCTACATTATCTCCTGGGCATTTGGAGAGGGTAGATTGGAAGAGTGGGGAAAGCATTGTTAGATACCCAACTGTTGTTATGGTTGTAACTCAATTGCCCAGTACAGAGGAAGGATGGTCTTCTGGTTATGCCACTGAACAGGGACCAAAGGATGTGGCTTCAGAAGTTCTTGGCTCCTACCATAGGCTTGCTGTACAACTTTGGACAAGTCAGTGTGAATCTCTCTGTGCCTCAGTTCCACATCTGTGAAATATTTCAGAGTAGCAGCCGTGTTAGTCTGTATCCTCAAAAAGAACAGGAATACTTGTGGCACCTTAGAGACTAACAAATTTATTAGAGCATAAGCTTTCGTGGGCTACAACCCACTTCTTCGGATGCAAGCTTATGCTCTAATAAATTTGTTAGTCTCTAAGGTGCCACAAGTACTCCTTTTATGTGTGAAATAGAGATCATATTTCCCTCCCTTATAGAAGTACTGTGTGGATTATTTCCTGAATGATTGTGAGACACTTAGATATTATGGTGATGGGGCTATATCAGTAAATAAACTAAACAAACCTTTCAGAGGCAGGGGAGGAGAATGTAATCATTTTAGCATTTATAACTAATTGTTATGAAAATGCCCACAGCTCATAGTGAGCACCTGAAATAAATCAAAAGGAGTATAAAAGAACAGCATAAGCATACAGGGACAAAATCAGAAAGGCTAAGGCACAAAATGAGTTATACCTAGCAAGAGACATACAAGACGATAGGAAGAGTTTTTTAAAATAAATTAGGAGCAAAAGAAAAATGAAGGAAAGTGTAGGTCCTCTACTTAGCAGGGAATGAGAGCTAATAACTGGTTTAATACCTATGACATGACATTTTTATTTTAGTAAAGCATTTGACACAGTTCCACAGGACAATCTCATAAGCAAACTAGGGAAATGTGGTCTGGATGAAAATACTATAAAGTGGGTGAAAAACTGGTTGAAAAACTGTACTCAAGTATTTATCAATGGTTTACGGTTAAACTGGGAGGGTATATCTAGTGGGGTCCCAAAGGGGCCAGTCTTGAGTCCAGTATTATTCAGTGTTTTAATTAATGACTTGGATAAGGGAGTGGAGAGTATGCTTACAAAATGTGCCCATAATCTCAAACTCGGAGGGTTTGCAAGCACTTGGAGGACAGCATTAGAATTCAAAATGACATTAGAGAATTAGTCTGAAATCAGCAAGATGAAATTTAATAAAGATAAGTGCAAAGTACTTAACTTAGGTAGTAAAAATTAAATGCATAACTACAAAATGGAGAATAACTGCTTAGGTGGTAGTACAACTGAAAAGGATCTGGGGGTTATAGCAGATCTCAAATTGAATATGAGTGAAAAATGTGATGCAGTTGTGGAAAAGGCTAATATTCTGGGGTGTCTTAACAGGAGTGTTGTATGTAATACACAGGAGGTAATTGTCCCACTATTCGGCACTGATGGGGCCTTAGCTGCAGTACTGTGTCCAATTCTGGGCACTACACTTTAGGGAAAATGTGGATAAATTGGAGAGAGAGTCCAGAGGAGAGCAACAAAAATAATAAAAGGTTTAAAAAACCTGACCTATGAGGAAAGGTTAAGACTAAACATGCCCAGTTTTTTGAGAAAAGATGACTAAGCAGGGACCTAATAACAATCTTCAAATATGTTAAGAGCTGTTATAGAGGACAGTGATCAGTTTTTCTCCATGTCCACTAAAGATAAAACAAGTAATGGGCCTAATCTGCATCAAGGGAGATGTAGGTTAGATATTAGGAAAAACTTGGTAACTATAAAGGTAGTTACGTTCTGGAACTGGCGTCCAAGGGAGGTTGTAGAATCCCCATTATTGGAGGTTTTTAAGAATAGGTTGGACAAACACCTGCCAGGGATGGTCTAGGTTTACTTGGTCCTGCCTCAGCACAGGGGGCTGGACTTGGTCTCCCAAGGTCTCTTCCAGCCCTACATTTCTATGATTCTATGAAAATAAAAGATATCCTGTAACACCATGGGGCCTGATTCTGCATTCCTTGCACAAAATCTCCACTAATATAAGATAGTATACCAAACTGTAAATTATAAAACTATAAAGAACTCAGTCATTTATATGTAGAGGACAGAGATGCGGGGGATGGAGCCTAGAGGAAGAGGCAAAGCAAGATGAACTAGTTATGGTCTTATCCTAGCATCTTTACTCAGGCAAGATTCCAACTGATGGCAGAGAGTTTTGCTTGACTCAGGACTGAGCCACAAATGAGGTATTCCTAGGTAAAGCAACAAACAAAATGGAGAGGAAAAACTCAAAGTCTCTGAAAATGAGATGAATGAGGGTCATGAATTAAGTTAATTTAAATCTACAGAGGTGCTACAATGGGAGTTACAAAATGAAAGACTCAACACAGGTCTGTAGGGACAGCACTGCAACATCAGAAATGAAAAATGGTGCCATCTGAAACGTACAGGCACAATAATGTGACTAACGGAAAAAACACGGCAGTAACACCATTAAAGAGAACGCATGCATGCACACACAAATTGTGTTAAAATAAAGCATAAGGATCATGAGAGACAACCCATTAACAGCAAAGAAATTCTGATTTAAGGCTAAATAAAGCTCTTGGGGCAGATCAGTTTGTGGAGGTGGTCATAGCTCCATAATGGAAAGATGACACCAATGCAGCTATGACAATTTACCCCAGCTGGGGATCTACCACCTTGTTTTGCCTCTGTATTGCATCCCTCTAGATCCTTTCTGGGAGAAAGGATGTCTCAAAACAGGTAATCGTGCGTAAAGCAATGGTTGGGCTATAGTAATTTAGAGTTAAATTATAGACATGACAGAAGCTGAACTCAGTTTCTTGTTTTCAAAACAGTATTTTACATCTCAGCTGTATACAAATTTTCCTTTAGGTTAATAGAGAGAGAGAAAGTAAAGTAAATGTGTGTGTGTGTGTGTGTGTGTGTGTGTGAGAAACAATTTCAGTTTGAGTCCACTAAAATTATCCATAGGTTTGTTGCATTTTCCCTAAACCTATGAATATCGGTTAGCTGGCAATAGAAGAAATTTCAATTCCAGGGACCGGGGTTTTATTAAATGAGAGCTAAACCATTAAAACGTTGGACACCATCATGTTGCATCTGTGTCAAGCTTTCGGTAAACAAGCAGCAACATGAATGAAATCTGCCCAGAAAGACTGCATCTGAGCTCCAACCACGCAGTCTCTGGCCAAACCACCGCATATGAAATAAAGTTTTATTTCATTTTCGAGTGTTCAGTTACGCTTGTACCATTTCCTGTGGAAAATTGAAGCTTTGAAGTGTGTGTCTATAACTCAAGCGTTGCTGAAACCCAACCATTTTGAGAAGCCCTAAAAAAAAAAAAAAACAGAAAAACAAAACAACCCCTCCTCCCCCAAACACACGAGCCGTTCAATCAACCCATCAGTCGTGATGCTAGAAAGTTCATTAGGGATGTCACTGTAAATAATGCCCCAAAATGCCACCAAGACCCTCTGCCCACCCCCTCCCCCGACTCCATTGTGCTGGCGACAGGCTGCAGCGGAATCACACACATCCATACGGTACCGTAGCGCTGAGCCCCCAAGAGAGCAACACGGGGTGTCTGACAGCTTCCCCCCCCCCCAGCCCTTAATGAGATCGGCCGCGCATTTTTTGTGATGCAGAAGGACCTGTTCCTCTCCCACCCCTCTCTCCCCCCAGCTCTGTAGGACTGAAGCCTTAGCCCGCCGCAGACACTTGCGGCATGGTACTCCATACAGATGGCCAGGAGGGGGGGGAAGGAATTGATGCACGACGAAGGCTTTCTAGCCCCGATTTATAGTCTCCTCGTGTCCCGCTAAAATTCTGTGTTCAAGGTGAAACCGGCTTGACACCAAATGTACATGGGGTAAAAACCGATCCGACACAATAGGGTGGAAAACACCTCCAGCTCCACCTGCAGAAGGCGCAGCAAGCGGGAGGGCAGCAGCCGGCGGGTTAATTAGCAACAGCCTCACCCCGCGTGCGCAACCCTCCGGCGGGCGCACTTCGCCGGCGCGAGTTGAGCCCCTCAGGGCTGCAGGATGGGGCTTAGCTACCCTGCAAAGCGCAGCCATCTGCGCTTCCTAGATGCGCTGGGGGGGGGGGGGCGGCTCTCTACGCTCCCCAAGGGCCAGATCCTGGGAGATGCTGAGCATCTGCAGCTCCCACTCACGACAGGTGCTCAGCCCTTCCCGAGGGGGAGTCCTGGCTTCCCGGATCAGCCTTCCCGCTCCGGATGCGCAAAACTGCGGCTCCCCGGGTCTGCGCGCAAAGTGTGGGGGTCTGAGCGCAGGGAGGGGGCCCCAGCGGCTGCGGGGCGCAGAAGGGATTTTTGGTTGGCTGGCTGACTACAGCTGATACTTCATCCAAATAAAATAAGAAAAGTGTCAAAATGCGCAACATTCGCGCGCATTTGGGGCCGGGTTTCCCTGCAATACTCGCCACATACTCTACTCCCAGCGCAAACTTTGAGGGGCACAAGAGCGGCCTAGGTGGCCAGGGCCCCCCTCCCCGCTGGCATCCCAAGTGGTCACAGACTAGAACCCTCCTTCCCCGTCCCGCTGCACTGACACCGAGAGGACTGCACACCGTGCCCGCCGCCCACCTGCCCCTGGCCCCACAGGTGGGCACACGGGGAAGGCTGCACACCATGACCCCTTCACCCCTGGCCTCTCAGGAGGGCTCACGGGGAAGGATGCAGCCCCCAACACCACCCCCCGGCCCCACAGGAGAGCACGTGGGGAGGGAGCAGCCCCTAACACCCCGGCCCCATAGGAGGGCACAGCCCGCGCACTCACCGCTGGCGTTCTTCCCGCAGATGAGGTGCTGGTAGGGCTGCAGCAAGCCCCACAGCTCCGCGTCGTTGTTGACCGTCTGCTCCAGAGACTCCACCGTAAACTTGGGCGCTTCGCCGCCGCTCTCCTTGTCCTTCTCCGCGCCAGCGGCGGCGGCCGAGCCGGAGCCCGAGCCCCGGTTGGGGTGCGGGTGGGCCGAGGCGCTGCCCCCCGCCATCACCCGCCCGTAGATGTCTCGGAAGAGGTTCTCCAGGCAGGCGGTCAGGTAGATGGCGGCGTGCTCGTGGATGCGAACGGCCACCCGGCTGTCCACCATCCAGCGGTAGAACTTGCCCACCGAGAAGGTGAGCCCGCAGCGGGTGGATTTGCCCCGGCTGAAGCGGTCCCCGCCGCTGCTGCTCATGTTGTAGAGGGAGAGGGCGCCCAGGGCGGCCGCCGTGCAGCCGGAGGCCAGCGTCCAGTCCAGGACGATCTCCATGGCGCTCTGGATCTCGTACTTGGTGCATTTGGCAAACCGCAGGCTCAGCCGCTGAGCCTCCTTGGCGATCCGGACCAGCGCCCGGCTGACCAAGGTGGAGAGCTTGGCCAGGGCATCTCTGGCAGGGCTAGCGGGGGTGGCCGCCGGCCCGCGGGGCTCCCTGTGCCGCAGCAGGAGCAGCGCCTCCACCTCCTCCAGAGTCCAAGGGACCTCCTCAAGGTCAGGCAGCAGCCTGGAGCACTGCTGCCCCGAGCAGTCCAGCACCTCGGAGTCTTCCACTAGGACCGTGTTGACAGTGTCAAAGCTGTTGTGCCTACTGTGCATGGAGTCAGCTAGATGCTGCCAGCAGTTTCCTCCATAGGGGTAAGCCGGGTGGGAATCCGAACAGCACAGGGACAAGTTGGAGGACCGGACTGAGTCCGCAGCACCACCATAACCAGAATCCAGGGTCAAATCTTCCAGCGTCCTCACCACTGTCTTACCTCGCCTTGCCATAGCTGCACTTCATGCTGCACCCGCAGGAAACCAGAGGGGGAATGGAAAGCCGAGACGGAGCCCACTCGCCACTTTGTTGTGCCTTCCAAAGCCTCTGCCCGGCCCACGCACCGGCTCAGCTCCGCGGAGGGGCTCGGCAGCCCCACTCCCAGCCGGGCGGCGGAAGAACGCCGGAAAAATAAAAGTGTTTAAATGTTCCCTTCTCCCCGCCGCCAGCAGCAGCACCGCCGCCGCCAGCCTCCCTCGCCGATCACTGCACTGCACTAGCAGGCAGCCCTATACCGCAAAACCCAGCCAGCCAGCCGGAGAAGGGAGTGGGGAAGAGGCGGGCCTATGTAAAACAGCTCGGGAACGAGCCAATAGCGTTGGAATATGCTAATTATATCACCACTTCCCCCCCTTGCTCCCCCCCCATCGGCAGAAATGAGGGAGTCGAGCTTCACCCTTTGGAATCCATGGAGAATCAAGACCCAGAGCCCAGGCAGCCCCCCCAGCTCTGGGCCTGTTACCAGGACCTGGGTTTTTTTTTTTTGTCTCTCTCTGGTAATTTGTTTTTGTTGAACTTTGCTGTTGAAAAAGAACTCACAGGAGCCATGTAGATTCTCCAAAACAGAGGAGGGGAAGCTCCCGGCCTGGGTAGTGATTTGTGTGGTTAAGAATAGCCTAAATCTCAGGCTTGTGTCCTTAGCAGGTAGGAGAAATTAGAAACCACCAGCCTAAAACAGATCCAGCAGCTGCGAATTCTTGTCAGAGTATATTCTGCTCCAGTGGTTCCCCCCCACTGGGGCCAGCGCCCTCCCTAGCCATTTTGGTGCCCTGCGCAGCCCCCCCGCGGGGGGGGGGGCTGTGTGGGACCCAGGCCTCCGTGGGTTGGGCTGGGTCGCTCCACTTCCTGCCGCCCGGTGAGTGCAGGGCAGCCAGTCCGACCCCGCACTCAGGGGGCGGTGGGAAGTGGAGTGACCCGGCCCCAGCCCGCTCCGCTCTGCTCCCCTGGCTCCCAGCCTTGCAGGGCAGGGGAGAAACCGCCCCCCGCACTCACCCGTCGGCGCGGCTGGGAGCCAGTGGAGCGGAACGGGCTGGGGCCAGGTCGCTCCACTTACCGCCGCCGGTGAGTGCAGCACCACCCCCTGCTGCAGTCCCCAGGGGAGTGGGGGTGGGGAAGGGACGGAGCAGGGCGGGGGCTTTAGGGAAGGGGCGGAGCGGAGCAGGGGCTGGAGCAGCAGGCAGCTGCGCAGGGTAAGGAGGGCCCTGACTGGGGCACATACCAACACAGATACTTCAGGTTTTTGTGACTGCACCTATGCCACTGAACTGCCTTCCTCCCATTTAATTACGTGTTGCAACAAGCACCATTACAGGTTAGAGCATGCACAGCTGATTGTGCGTGGTGTGAGAGACACATACCTGACTACAGTGGGAAATTGTAAAGCCTCATATTTTCCTCTCAGCTCATCACAGAATCCCCGTGTAAGTTCCCCCCCCCATCATTAAAAAAAATCATTTTTTCTTTAAGATTAAGGGATAGATCATTTACATGAATATGGACAACTGCTGAGCTCAGAAACTATTCTGTTTGGCTCCTGCCAAGGCAAGATACACCTCTCTATTCTTCCTTTGTTAGTCAATGTCACTCCCTCTTATGCTTGTGCATTGCCAGCATGGCAGTTGCAGCACCTATGGTGAAGGCAATACCAAGAGACCTAAGATTTTAGAGGCAGTTCTGAGAAGTTCCCCAAAGCCCAAGAGACCTAAGACTGGGCATGAGTAGTTCTGTTAACAGGGTTATGTGCGTGCTTTAAGTTAAGCATGAGTTCAAATCCTTTGGATCAGGACTTCAATATGTGTGTCTTTTGAAGACAAAAAAAGTAGCAAGGGGGACGTATAAAACAGGTTTCTATTGAACCTGTTAGCATTATCTCCCAAACAGATTAAATGGATTCTCTCGCCTTCATTTTTATCGCATTCTTTTTATTCCAGCGGTTTGCTGAATTTTCCAAAAACAAAATAAAGCCACGGGGCAAAAAAAGTAGAGGAACTTGATTGAGAACTAAACAAACTGCCATGTAGTAGTAGCGGGCATAGTTTCAATCTGGAAAAACAATCTCCAAATAATTAAAAGAAGTACTTTGAACCCCCTGGAAACTCTTAAAATTAACCCCCAAAGAATGAGGCAGAATTTGAAAAGCGAGACTCTTATTAACGTTGGTGAGAGTTTCACATGCACAGCTAAAAATTCCTGGACAGTGCATGAACAACTTATGCCTAGCAGAGTATATATTAATCTTTATATGCTGAGTGTTATTGCTAATGGGAGTTGCATGGCAAAGGGCTCATGCAACAAACAGAATATACTCCTCCTAAGTGTATACTTCTCTTCTGCAGAAATGTTATATTGCTTTAATCGTAAACCACCAGCAAACATCTATCCCTTTAAGTATAAAAGGCTAGCAAATATTTCTTCACCCTGATTTCAGTGTAGTCAGTCAAAATTCTTCAACAGACAAGGCCAGTCAAGTAAGAGATTTACCCTCTCAAGGGAGCAAAAACTGGCAGGCCTTCAACATAAACTTCCTAAAGGAAAGGCATGAACACACCTACAAGGAGAAGATAGACTAGTTGGGGTAAGTCTGACATCCCTGAAAACACCTAGAGGGATTTACACTATGACTTAAGGGAGGTACAGTAAGAAAACCAAGAGATATCTTGACAGCATTTTCAACTTTGAAACAGGAAATGTCAGGCAGAATAGATCTTCAAAAGACATCCTAAAAGCCACAGAACTCACACAATAGCCATAATGAATAAGCAGAGGATGGGGGAGCTCTGGATTAGAGTGAATATCATGCTGAAGAGAGAAAGGGTTAACGTGGTGCCCATCTTTAAAAAGCCGAAAAAGGAGGAGCTGGAGAACTATAGATCAATCAGCCTGACCTCGATACCTGGGAAGCTACTAGAGCAATAGATGAAACATTCAATTTGCCAATACCTGGAGGATAAAGGGTGATCACTAGCAACCGGCATGGATTTACTAAGAACAAATCATGCCAAACCAGCTTGATTTTCTTCTTTGACAAGGTAACTGGTTTGGTGGATAGGGATAATGTGGTGGACATAATATAGCTGCACTTTAGCAAGGCTTTTGACACAGTCCCACATGCCAGTCTCATAAATAAGCTGGAGAAATGCAGGCTCGGTGGAACTACCATTAAGTGGATATATAATTGGTTAAACAACCGCAAACAAAGAGTAACTATAAATGGAATGATGTCAGATTGGAAGGAGGTCTCAAGTGGGGTTCCACAGGGATCTGTTTTGGGTCTGGTGTTATTTAACATCTTTATTAATAATCTAGATGTAGGAATAGAGAGCCTACTGATCAAATTTGCTGATAACACAAAGCTGGGGTGAGGGGACGTGTTTACAAACACTTCAGAGGATGGTGCTAAAATTCAGAGGAATCGTGATAAATTGGAGAACTAGGATAAAGATGATAAAATGAAATTCAACAAAGACAAATGTAAGGGGCTACACTTAGGGAAGAAAAACCAAATACAGAACAAGAGGAAACTGGCTTGGCAGCAGCACTACTGAGAAGGATCTGGGAGTTGTGGTGGATCACAACCTCAACATGAGTCAGCAATGCAATGCTGTTGCAAAAAAGCAAATGAAATTTTGAGTTGCATTAACAGAGACATAGCATGCAAGTCATGGGAGGTGATAGTACCGCTTTACTCAGCGCTGGTTAGGCCTCAGCTGGAGTACTGTGTACAATTTTGGTCACCAATGTATATAAAGGATGTAGAGAAACTGGAAAGGATCCAGAGGTGAGCAACAAAGATGATCAAAAGGGTGGAATGCAGCCATATGAGCAAAGGCTGAAGGAACTGGCTATGTTTAGTTTGGAAAAGAGGACATTAAGGGAGGACATGATAGCAGCCTTCAAATACTTGAAAGGCTGCCATAAAAAAGATGAAGAAAAGTTTCTCTCTCTTGCCACAGAGGGCAGGACAAGAAGCAATGGGTTCACACTATAGCATAGCAGATTTACATTAAATCTCAGGAAAAACTTCCTAACTGTAAGAACAGTAGGACAATGGAACAAACTGCCTAGGGAGGTTGTGGAAGCTCCTTCACTGGAGGTTTTCAAAAAGAGGCTGCATACCCATCTGTCTTGGATGGTTTAGACACAAGAAATCCTGTATCTTGGCAGGGGGTTAGACTAGATGACACTTGTGATCCCTTCTAACCCTACGGTTCTATGATAAGATTAGAGCCATTCTGTAGTAGTTGGGTCAGTCCTCAGATTGTGGTATGCAAGAAGGAAGGGGCATTAACATTAAGGTCCTGCATACTATGTGGTAAGCTGAATTGTAAATCTTCACTGCACAGTTAACCCAAGTGATTGGCACCCAGGTCTGAGCCCTGGGTTACCCTAGCCTGGGTGTGAGTGTCCCCACAGCAAAGTTCTACCTACATCACTTTCTGCACTTGCCCGTGTGTGTCTAGGGGAATAACTCATGGTTCTTTGTGCTGAGAGGCTCTAGGATTCATTCCCTGTCAACTAGGTTAATTGTGGGAAGACGTCATCTGACTTTTGGGGGGATTGGGGGATGGGTACTGGAGGATGATCAGCACTTGAGTGGTTTTGCCAGCATCCTCACTGCAAAGTGAGTGGGTTCCAGCACGAGTTAAAGCAGAGCCTGCAATCTAAACTATATCCTCAGTTGGGTCAGCTAGCCTGGTCTTAAAGCATCTCCAAACTTGGGTCAGAGGTTTTTCTGGGTGGATAATAGGGAGTTTGGGCTAAAATCCAGTTAAGAGCCCAGGTAAATTGTACAGTAAACATAGGATTCTGTAGTAGGGTCCCCCCCTGGTGTCTACAGTACTCCAGTGCAGCAGATTAGAAATTTTCTATACAGCTTCACCTTAACTCAGTAAAAATCTCCATGTTAGAATTTAATGAGAATGAACACAAACATACAGAATATCTTGGGAGATTTTTCTAAACAGATTCAATTTGTTTTACTCTGCCCCTAAATTTTCAGAGAGTTGCAACTTTTTGCATTGATAACACATGACTGCACTCAGGCATTATCGGGGGAAACTGTATGTTATGAAAGCTGGGTAGCAAATAGCTCTTGGTGACTGGGAAGGCATGGGAGATAGCTTGGGAGTGTGGACTAAGCACATCATTTGGACCTTTATGCTGCAGTGATGAGAAGTAAAATAGTTAATGGTGACATTAAAACAATTGTCTTTAGGCTATAAAGTTAACCATGC